CCCTCTCCTCCCTCTCCCTCCTCCCCTCCTTACTGTCCTCCTCCCCCACCCTTCTTACCATCCTCCTGCTTCAGTGGCGATAGAACCTCCTTGACCGACAGCTGGCTGCGCGGGATAACCGGCTTGATCGCGCGCACGCGGAATGCTGCCTTTACCCTCCCCTCTCCTCCCTCTCCCTCCTTACTGTCCTCCTCCCCCACCCTTCTTACCGTCCTCCTGCTTCAGTGGCGAGGGAACCTCCTTGAACGACAGCTGGCTGCGCGGGATAACCGGCTTGATCGCGCGCACGCGGAACGCCGCCTTCGGCACAGGCCGACCCTCCTCATCTTCATGATCCGACGTCAGCTCCGAAGAGAAGGTCGCTGCGTCGTCGTCGTCGTCCGCATCGTCGTCGTCGTCGTCATCGTCGTCGTCACTGCCCTCCGAGTCGGAGATGCTGATGAGGCGACGTCGCGGCTTGCGCTGCGGCTCATCGCGCGAGTAGTCGTGATCGAGGAGCAGCCGCACGAGATCAATGTCATTCTGCCGAGAGAGAGAGAGAGAGAGAGAGAGGTAAGTGCCGGCATGAGTCGGGAACACAGTGCAGCACACAGGAAGCCATCACGAGACGAGAAAATGGGTGAACAGTAGTTGTGATCGAGGAGCAGCCGCACGACATCAATGTCATTCTGCCGAGAGAGGGAGAGAGAGAGAGAGAGAGGTAAGTGCCGGCATGAGGCGGGAACACAGTGCAGCACAGAGGAAGCCATCACGAGACGAGAAAATGGGAGAACAGTAGTCGTGGTCGAGGAGCAGCCGCACGAGGTCAATGTCGTTCTGCAGACTAGGATGCAGAGGAAACCAGGGAACACAGTACACAGAGAAAGCCATCACGAGATGGGAAAGCGGGAAACAGTAGTCGTGGTCAAGCAGCAGCCGCACGAGTTCGATGTCGTTCTGCCGAGAGAGAGAGAGAGAGAGAGAGAGAGAGAGAGGATGCAGAGGAAGCCAGGGAACACAGTGCAGCACAGAGGAAGCCACCACGAGATGGGAATTCAGGAAACAGTAGTCGTCGTCGAGCAGTAGCCGCACGAGGTCAATGTCGTTCTGCCGAAAGGCGGGCACAGTACGACAGTAAGCAGTGCGCAGAGGGGGTACCAACATGAGGCGGGAAACTTCGCGTTTCTCCTGCATATAACATAAGACCAGAGTTGGCTCACATTGGCAATAGTCACAAGCCAGGCACCAGCTAATCTCGCGCAAATAGCAGTCAGAGGGGAAGGAGGCAACGAGGAATGCAACAGTCCGGAGAAAAACCCAAAATATCAGTGAGGCGTGCACGAGCATGGACAAGAAGTAGGCAGGGTGTGAGGAACCCACTGAGGTTCGCCGTTCACATTGCGAGCAAGGACACGAGAGAGATGCTCTTACCATGCGAACAGCGTGCATGATGGGCGTTCTCTTCTGGTCATCGGCAAAGTTGACATCGGCGCCTTTGTTCAGCAGGTACTTCACCATCATGAAGTCGCGACGGCAGATCGCCCAGATCAGCGGCGACACCTTCCCAGTGTAAGTTCCCTGCAAACACACACGCACCATATTTTCTACGCAACCACACAGCACACGACATACGCTCAACCAAATAGAATGTGTGTATGAGGGGACATATGAGGGGATTGATGTAAAAGGAGACAAATGAGATGTATGCGACTGTGTACAAGTATGCCGAGGCAGCCCTGTGTGAAGGAGAGGAAGCTGAGCCATGGTAGTTAATTAGTAATGCTTACGACTAATGCTAACAAGGTTTTGCGGGCCTATAGGAGGGGCTATGCGAGTGTATATATGATGGGAAACATATGAGGGAATATAGGGAAGGGATATAACATAAGACAATAGGGACGAAACGTGACTAATAAGAAGTAAGAATAACAGCAGTGGATAATTATCATCGCTAACAAGCAAATCTAGCAAGACCAATCGTGTCGAGTTCAAATTATTGCTTTTTGGATGAGCCCTTACTAAACATCATATTAATAACGATTAAATAAGGTTCGCAATGTTAATCAGATGATTTCCAACCAAGACGTCAGAAGCCGACAGAATTATACTGATGATGCACTGCTTTTACTAAGATTTTTTTTAGAAAATGTAGAAAAATCAAAATGCGCCATGATACGAAATGTGTCTAGAGATCCCTGACCGTGCTTTCTGATCGCGCTTCCTGACCGTTCTATGGTTGGTACAAGGGAAATAACAACAGCACACACTGCAAGAATACATAAATACTAGTCTGCACGTGAACACATCCGTACAACCACAGCTACAACTGCATTACAGCATACCCGATAGTTATCCCATTAGTGCACGCACGTACGCATGCACGCACGCGCACAAACACACACAGTGTATACCATAAAGCTCCTATAGTATAACACTCGATAACACACGTGTCACCACACACACGCATGCACGCACGTACGCATGCACGCACGCGCACAA